AGGTGCGGGGGAGGGCGACAGGGCGGATCTGTGGTTCCTTCGGGGTGCGGGGCTGGGGGAATCGCCTTGGAACCCGGGCAGCAGCGGAGGCAGAGGTTTCCTTCCGTCCTGGCTGGAGGATCGCGTCTCTGCAGGGAACGGAGTACTCATCACATTATATGTATACCACACATAGCGTATATATTATTAAAGCACTTAGGTGTAGCATGTTGCTGCAGCACCATGACAGTGATAGAAATGCTTTCCAGATTTATGCAGACTTTCTCATAAAGGACTCAGGGAAGCATGTGTTTCCCGGGAGCTGAGAAGGAGGTGAGGCAGAGAGGAGGTGATTTGCCCTTGGAGCCAAGCTATAAAGCTATTTTGGCTTGGGAAGGAGTTGCGGGGATAGGGTACAGAGAGCAGAAGCAGAGAAGCTGACAGCTTTCAGGAGTTACTGAACTTATCCACTGTCTCAGGCTCATGCATGGTGAGACAAGCTCTGCAGTTGACATTATCGCTGTGTTCTTGCATGTCACATTTTTTTCTCCTTTCTCAGTAAATCTCTGATTTCCATGAAGCCCAAGCCACCTTTTCCAAAGTTTATGACATGTCAGCAATTTTGTGACAGTTCATTTCCTTCAGAGTGCCTCTTTGATGTTGAGGGTCCCTCTGTGACATTAAGACATTCGTAGATGAGAGAGAGAAATGGGAAGATGAGAAGGTAGCTAGGCATGCCGTCTTCATGCATGACACTGACTTTCAGTGACTGATTAATGATGGTGCTGCTTAGGGACTGAAATAAGTTACATATTTCATAGATGGATGTAGATGAGTTGTAGGAACATTTTCCTTAGCTAGAGGAAACTAGGATTTTTCTTGAGCTCTCTGTTTTATGCATTGTCTGGTTGAAAGAGAAGGGGAGGGGGTGTCTGTCAAATGAGTAAGTGAGTAATAAATACACTTAGTTTGTTCCTGAGTAATTGTTTTGGCTTTAGCAAACTGCTTACCCTCTCCGTGCTCATTTCTCCCATGTCGGATTTCTATGATAATGCAAAATATATGTTTTTATTGTCTTAGTCACCACCCAGTGGAGCAGACATGCTGAGAGCCAAGGATGCTCTCCTGCACCTGCGACCCCACCGCTGCCCATGCTTGGCACAACTTCCAGCCTGCAGGCTCGCGTGGCGTTCGCTGCACAGACAGCCGCTGCACCCCGAGTGGGCTGCCCTTGCTGAAAAGCAGCTGAAGGGCAAGAATCCAAAGGATTTAATTTGGCACACCCCAGAGGGGATCGACATCAAGCCCTTGTACTCCAAAAGGGACACAAAAGACCTCCCTGAGGAGCTGCCGGGGATGAAACCTTTCACTCGAGGACCCTACCCAACCATGTACACGTACAGGCCGTGGACTATCCGCCAATATGCTGGTTTCAGTACAGTGGAGGAGAGCAACAAGTTCTACAAGGACAACATTAAAGGTAAGACAGCTGATTTGGGGAACAACATTGCCTTGCAAAGCAATGGGGGACACTCCTATGGTGAATTACATGGGAAAAGTGATTATTCTGCATAGTGAATTTTGATTTCTGATAGGCTTTTTGCGGTGGTGCTGTATTTCTTTAATACTGGGAAATTGGATCATTTCTGAAACTCCCCTGGCTTCATTTTGCTATTGAGGTGGAAAAATGAATGCGTTAAATGCTATTTTTAGTTATTCTGCCTTGACACTGACAGAAATGAAATTTGGCTTCATCTCAGTGTCCAACCCACAGAGATCATTGAGCACTTTACACTCATTTTGTGACCATGAGAGAAGATTGTAGTGGAAAAAAACGTTGAACTTTGTCACTTGGCACTTCTGGTGTTAGTCCATTCTGACATTTTGTGTTGCCGTCTCATGTTATAAATTTTAAAAGAACTCATAAATACATACAAATAGTATCATTCATGGTATATTGGTAAAGCCAGCTTCCTAAAAGCATTGGTATTTTCCTTATTTGTGGGCGGTTTTCCCAGTATTTCTGTGGAGCATTGTTCTTTGCAGCAATTTGTTTAGCTAATAGCTGGAGCATCATCATGATATACTATTGAGATAGACATTATAAAATCATTACTAAAAAGTTGTTCTTGATAGACTGAAGCATTAATTTTACCCCAGCCATACATCTTAGCAATTGTTTGAAGCTAATTATAACTTTACCTGTCAAAACAGCAGAGCACTGAAATTTGCCGTCTGAGTAATACATCTGTGATGCTTTTATTTCCCACATTACAGGCCTTCCTACTCAAAACATAACTGTTTAGGGCAGGGGAGAAGAGTTGTTTGGTGATTTTCACCTCTTGCCATGTCATGGTTAGCTAATGTGAAGCAATATTAGCCACTGCAGTATTCTTGCAGGTACTCTTGATGCTTTCCGTTTATAAAACTCTCAGTAAATTAAGAAATCATAAATACAGGGTATTGGAGATTTGCAAACAAACATTTCAATAGAAAGATTGTTCTGAAGTACTCTGTCTTACTGCTAAACATTGCTGCTGAAGCAGAAATGCTAACACTTGGGGTAGCTGGTAACACAGCTCACTTACTCGACAATGTTTGCTGCCAGGAATTTTTCATCTTTATTCGAGTTCTGGCATTGTGATATTTTAATTTTATCTTATTGTGTTAATGATTGTATTAATATTGAATTATTTAGCATAGATTCTGAATCTGACCTAGTTATTTGTAACGCATTTTTAATAATTCAATTAAAATCTCTAAGTAGAGGAATGCTGAAAGAGCATTCAATAATAATTAATTTTCAGTTCTCATAATTGCTGAAATTTCTGTTGCTTGAAACTAGTCAGAAATGTAAAATTTTTGTCATTGTCCTTCAGAGCTAACACCTAGCTTTTTAGATCAAAGGCAGTAGCTGATATCTGACAGTTAAGAGCTCTGCTGATGTTGAGAAGCAGATTGCGAATGCAGTAGATGTAGTTACTTCAGAACAGCAGTGCTCGTCAGAGAGTGACTGCCTGGGGTTAAGCAGAGTTTCATGTCACAGCAGCAAGTCTGTCAAGAACTCTGACTGTCCTGTTCTCTGCTTTATATGAATAATGTTCTCAGTGCAGATTTAGTAATGCATCACTTCACTTTAGCAATAAACAATGTATGTGTGCATGTGTTTAATTTGGGATGAAGAGAAGGTAATGCGATGCAGTTTATCACGCTTTGTTTCCAGCTAAGTAGAATTTCTGTATATAAGCCCTCATACTGTCCATCTGTGCATATGTATAACTTCTGGCTAAGCTGTTACTTATTAATTTGAAAAGCATAGTAAGCTGATTGTGTGGCTGAGCTTGAAGGACTACAATATTTTTTCTCAATTAAAAGATTTTTCATTTGAAGTTTAAGACGAGAAGGCCTTGGAAAA